TCCCCTCTCAGCAGCCTTCCCTAAAAAGTGACAGGGAACAACAGCAGATTATTCCTCAAGCTGCTTTGGTGGCAGGGGCTCGAAAACCCCGGGTGTTGCTTTATCTTGGCTTTGCTGCCATTCCCACCAAAATTTTGGCTTTGATTTTCGGGGATTTGGGTGAAAAATTGAGAAACAGGGCATGGAGGGGGGATTTGGGAAAGGTTGAGGCTGTCAGACCCCTCATTGCCAATGGATTCACTATGGATTCCCTGTGGATTCCCAATTGATTCCCTATGGATTCCAAATGGATTCCCCATTAATTCCTTGTGGATTCCCCATGGATTCCCAGTGTATTTCCCAATTGATTCCCAATGCATTCCCAATGGATTCCCCATGGATTCCCTGTGGAATCCCCTCTCAGCAGCCTTCCCTAAAAAGTGACAGGGAACAACAGCAAATTATTCCTCAAGCTGCTTTGGTGGCAGAGGCTCGAAAACCCCGGGTGCTCCTCTTTGCTTTGCTGCCGTTCTCACCAAAATTTTGGCTTTGATTTTTGGGGATTTGGGTGAAAAATTGAGAAACAGGGCGTGGAGGGGGGATTTGGGAGCATTTGAGGCTGTCAGACCCCCTCATTCCCTATGGATTCCCTATGGATTCCCCGTGGATTCTCTATGGATTCTCAATGCATTCCCTATGCTTTCCCTATGGATTCCTCATGGATTCCCAATGGATTTCCCTATGGATTCCCCATGGATTCCAGATGGATTCCCAATGGATTCCCAATGGATTTCCTATGGATCCCCAATGCATTCCAAATGGATTCCCAATGCATTCCCCATGGATTCCCTATGGATTCCCCATTAATTCTTGTGGATTTCCAGTGGATTCCCAATGTATTCCAAATGGATTTCCCATGTATTCCCAGTGGATTCCCTATGGATTCCCCATTAATTCCTTGTGGATTCCCAGTGGATTAAATCCAGTGGATTCCCAATTGATTCCCAGTGTATTCCCCATGGATTTCCCATGGATTCCTTGGGAATCCTATTGGACGGTGCTGGTGGAGAAGCACAACCACACTTAAACAACCTCAGACAATGATAGGGTTRGTTTTGAACRAAAAAATTGAGGATTTAAAWATGAGATATTGGGAAGGAATCCTTCCCTGTGAGGATGGGGATGGCACAGCTCACTCTGATAAAGTGGAAAACACTTCCTCACCCCTGGAAGTCCCCAAAATCAGCCTGGACAGGGCTTGGAGCACCCTGGGACAGCAAAAAATGTCCCTGCCATGACACAGGATGGGCTGGGGCGATTTAAGGTCCCTTCCCACYCATCCCAGTGCAAGATTTGATAATTCCCAGTACTCGGGAACACCGAGCCGGGCACGGCTGCGGCTCCGGGGAGCTGAGCCCCCCCTGCCCTTCCCTCCCCTCCCCTCCCCTCGGAAATGCAGCGTATAATCTATGCATTAAAAGCCTTGTGAGACAGGAGCTGCCGTGCCTACACAGTCACAGCCTCTTCAGATCCAGCCCTGTAGATATTTTTTTTTTTTTTAAAGCTCTGCCGGAGCGCGCTGTCCTTCCATTACGGGCTGCGAAATTGCGCCGAGTCGATGGCGGCAATAAAAAGGGGGGAAAAAAAAATTTAAAAAAAAAATCAGAACGGAGCTTTCTTCTTCCTTTTTTTTTTTTAAACCCAGATTTGACTTCAAAGTAAATGGAAAGTGCGTTGCTGTTTTTTCCGAGGGGAAGGGTTGGCTCTTCCCTGTGGAGTGGGATCGGGATTGGGGGTGGAAGGGGCTGTTCCACTGGAATCTCATGGGTCTGTCCAGGTGGGAGCACCGTGGAAATGCCAGGAAAAGCTGGGAAAGGCACCAGGAAAACCCCACCAGCAGCTGGGTCCTGGTGCTCAGTGGTTTGGGGTCTTCTCGGGATGGGGTTTCCA